AGGTTAATAACATTAACGGGACACAATTGTTCTACTTCATTCTAATTTTTCCAAATCGATCCTGGTTCATAAACGTTACTTTGTACTCCAAACATTTAACGGGACACAATTGTTCTACTTCATTCTAATTTTTCCAAATCGATCCTGGTTCATAAAGATCACTTTGTACTCCAAATACGAGGTTGGAAAACGGCAGGTTAAAGGATATTGAATATTTGACTTTATGCAAATGTCGCAACTATTTCGTACGTCGTCGTCATGTTGGTTTTCCTTTCTTTTTATAAAATCCTTGTTTGACTTCAAAATTTTAATGGTCATCGACAGACAATCATAAAGGGGTGTAGAAAAATTGGTTTTGCGCGACAGCTGTGCCAGCAAAGTCCAGACGCCGTGACAATTGCCTAATTTCTGCAATTGTAGGCGTTCCACTTGAGAAATGAACCGGTGGTGTCATGTTGTGGAGTTGGTTTAATTGGTCATTTCATCTATGTATGCAACAAACAAAAATAAAAGCGTTTAGGAAAAAGCGACTCTCTCTCACTCTTTATGTCTCATTTCTCTCTCTCCCTCTCACTGCCTCGCTCTTCTCTCTCTCTCTCTCTCTCTCTCTCTCACACACACACACACACACACACATACTCTCTACCACTCTGTCCCTCTTTTGATATGGTTCTAAAATCTTCTATTCTAGAGCTTCTCTATTTTCACCCTTACTTTCTTTTTATATTATTTTTCATGGTCTTACTTTTTAGCAATTTTTGTTTCAAACTTCCTTTCCAGCATTTTTTCAATGTCGAACGTTCTGTATTTACCTATTTATTTATCTTCCCAATTTTTCCAAATTTTCTCGTTCATATTTCTACAATCGTTAATTAAACCATTCTATTTCTCTCTCTTTTTCTTTATCTCTCTCTCCTTTCTCCTTCCGTTTCCCTCTATATTTATCAGTTATATGTACAAATCTATCTATTTATTACATGTCTATCTCATTTTTTCTTGCTTATCATTCCGTTTCTTCTCTTTCCACCACTTTTCGTATGTTTTTTAAAAAACATTTTTTCCAGTTAGGCTTTTTAACTAACATTCTTTCACTCTCATACACTTTCTTTTTGGCTTTCTATTTATTATTACCGCAGGTTTTGAATTCTTGATGAAAATAACAACTTATTTTCTTTCTCAAAATCACATGTTTTCTTCTTTTCGCACGGCTCCTATTTCTTCTGGTCTACCGTTTCTCTTCAATTCCATTTCTTCTTTTTATCTGTTCCCCTCTATGTTATGTTATCTTTCATGGCCTGTCCAGTAGTTTCTTCATTGTCAATCTTTCTTTCCAGTATGTTTTCCTTTCTGATCTATCCTTACCTAGCTATTTATTTATCCTCTCATTGTAGGAGACCAATGTACTCGGTCGTCGTAATCGTTAATTAATCGATTCCATATCTCTCTTTTTTTCACATTACTCTTTCTCTATGAGAACACGTTCCTCTTTATCTTTCTATCAATCTATCTATACATTTATTAGTTGAGATGAAAAAAAGCTAATGGCACGAGAGGGATTCGAACCCACGACCTTCGGCTAGATACGCCGCTGCTCTACCACCTGAGCTATCGTGACCTCGATCCACCCGGACATCGACTCCCCATCTCAACCCCACCTTATGAGTTTTCCCTCCTTTTTCCATTTTTTTCATCTCAACTAATCACCTTAATTAATTGTAACGTTTAATTGGTCAAGCGGACCACGAAATTAGTGAATTTAATGAATTTACTGAAGTACACTTCACTAAAGCTCTCCGTCGCCATTTCAATTGTCGTCGAGAATCCAAACCGATTACACGACATTTGAAAAATGGCAAAAGGAGGGAAAACTCATAAGGTGGGGTTGAGATGGGGAGTTGATGTCCGAGTGGATCGAGGTCACGATAGCTCAGGTGGTAGAGCAGCGGAGTATCTAGCCGAAGGTCGTGGGTTCGAATCCCTCTTGTGCCATTATCTTTTTTTCATCTCAACTAATAACCTTAATTAATTGTAATTTTCAAAAATATTGAGCAAGATAGATGCTAAAGTGATTGGCTGACGAACGAAAATGGTTTGAAAGGTTAACGATGTGAAATTTGATTATTTTCTGAATGTATTTAACTAGGTATTAAATTAGGTATTTAAATAGGTTAAAAATATAAATAAATAAAAATATATTAAAAATAAATGTTAAAAATAATAAATAAATATAAATATAATAATAAAAATAAATGTTAAATAAAAATATGTTAATGGGTTAAATTATTAGGTATTTAAAAAGATTTTTTTAAATTCGAAAATTCCAAATGTTAATTAGTAATTTAATAACGTTTTACAATTTGTACGATAATTTGACACATACTACATTTTTACTAAACAATTTTACGAATATACTTTATCACTAAAAAATATGTTTCGTTTATTGCTGAAAACATGGGTTAAATCAAAATGTATTGTTAATAATTAGATCAATCTAAACCTAATACACAAACTGCTTCCGAGAACCGGTAAACATTGTATTTTAGTGGATTTTATTTTTTTCCGACATTACTAGGTTTTTCAAAATTTATATTTATATGTTAATTAATATGACGTTTACTCTAAAGTTAAGACTAATAAATTAATAAAAGTTTTATTAGGTACGTTTTGTTTATTTTTTATTCAACTTGTTACGCGAGAATCACATCCGGAACGCATTGCACCAGGTCGACCTCGTGAGCTATTGGGCGAAAATTATTATATATGTATCAAGGCCGGGTATCGGACCTTGAAAAGATAAAAATATTTCACAGCCTTACGAGGAGTTTTGCTTTTATTAGGTAGAGAGGGGGTTCAGTTATATATCATTTTTCAATTTTTTTTCTTTTTTAAATAACTATCATGCGGAAATTACTGTGTTGGAAATGTTGAGGCAGAAAAGAACCAATGTTCAGTAGATTTCATTATTTTACAATCAAACAAAACATCGCTTTGGAAGTTGAGTTTTCTCCAAAAATAAACTACCAAGCGAAAAATCCAAGACTTTTGTGTTTGGTAACGAATGGGCAAATAGCACGATGTAGGGAGTGATTATTTCGTTCTCTAGTATTGTGTTATTATATTTTCGTAATGCGTCAAATTTTTAAAGTTAACAACTAAAAAATTAAAAGCTCTTGGGCCATTCTGTGTCTAATCTACGGGCGATGAATAACAGTCTTTTTAGATTAAAATCAAACTTTTCTCTTTTTATTAAGCTTATTTTAGTGATAATGAGGACAATTTAACATGGCAGAATATAAGTTCGGTTAAATCGTTAATATGAAAAGTGTTACCAGTAAATATTTATTGTCATAAATTGTCAATTAGAGAAACAAATAAGTGCAATTATTAAACGAGCAAACGTATATTAGTCTTTTCGAGGCATCCAATTTCTGACTCAACTGGCCATCAATACCAAAAGCCAATAAATTTATCCATTCGTCCAACAAAAAATGGTACCCGTTTTTTGTATTAGTACATTGCGTTTATGTATTAGTACATTCAAATACCTCAGTACATCTAAATATCAATTTTGCGTAGCCTCTGCATAGCCATCAATCAAGGTATACATCGCTATCTACTGTCAATATGATCATCCAATTATTAACCTTACAATTAATTAATCTTTACATAAGGCATAGGTTGGGTTAAAAAGTCAGTGAAACGAGCGGGATTCGAACCACGACCCTCGGCTAAATAAGCCGCTGCTCTATCACTTGAGCTACCGTGACTTCGATCCACTTGACACCAACCTCCCATCTCAACCCCAGCTTAAGAATTTTCCTTTTTTTTTTGCCATTTTTCAAATATCGTGTGATCTATTCAATTCTCGGCGACAAATGAAATGACCACGGAGAGCTTATGTGAAGATATACTTCGTTTTACTTATCAAATTCGTTAGAGTTCGTGGTCCGATTGACCGAATAACTTTTTGCAATTAATGAATCTTTATATAAGGCATTGGTTAAGACAAAAAAGTCAGTGTCACGAGCGGGATTCGAACTCACGACCCTCGGCTAAATACGCCGCTGCTCTACGACTTGAGCTATCGTGGCTTCGATCCACACGGATACCATCTCATTTTAAAAATGGCAACAAGGAGGGAAAATTCGAAGGGTGGGTTGAGATGGAGGTTGGTGTCCGAGCTGATCGAAGTCACGATAACTCAAGTGGTAGAGCAGCGGCGTGTTTAGCCAAGAGTCGTGGGTTCGATACCCGCTCCTGACACTGACTTTTTTTATCTCAACCAATGCCTTATATAAATATTAATTAATTGAAAAACGTTATGTGGTCAATCGGGCCACCAACTCTAATGAATGTATTAACTTTATATTATATTCTTCTACGTAGTCACTATAGAACAAACCAATTATTGAAACGGCAAATCGAACTCAACAGTTTATTAATTGTAACACTAGAAAATCCCAAAACATAACTTTTACCCTATCTGGTCTGATCTACTTATAACCACATTTCACCCTCTACCTCTAGACAACCAATTGACCTAAATCCCAATATACGGCTTGCAAATATAAAACGTAACAAATGACACAGATTACTTTAAAAAACAACATATTTAAACTTTCAGTCGACGTTAAAATTTTTTATACAACTCCATATTCTGCATAGTCCTAAGGGGTTCAACCAAACCTTCCCATCACAGCAGAGTTCAGACCCACAATCACGAATCGATAAAACCATTTTCCTCCATAATTCCCTTTTCTGTGCATCTAATCGCTCCTTAGAATATATGCAGTTAAATATTCTGCTATAACAAAATTCCACTCTAACATGCAATTTGTTTTTACCTCTTCCCAATGTCGTTCTGGGCGTCTAATGGACTATGGCCCCTTGAGTTGATCTCAGGGTGTGTGAGTGATTAAAATTAATCCATCATTTAAATGTGTTATCACTGGATAGCATTAATTTTCTGTGTTTGTAACCAAGGTCAAATAAAAAACATCATGCTCAATTCGTTTTAATAAAATTGTATTGACAAAAACAGAACTCAACTGTAGAAATGTTTGAGTCTTTATGAGTTTGCCAGTTCAGGTATCCTGTTCCCCTGAAAAAGAAATCCTTATTTACTTAAAAACAAATACTCAAATCAATGTTATGATTACCCAGTATTGAGCCATGACGATCAGAGTTGTATTTGTAAGCTTGGGACCAATCAATGGGTTCATTTGCCCCAAGTAAACACAAAGCCAGCTGTTTATGGTAAGGCAAAAACAAAATATATAAATTAAAAACTATTTTCTTTCTTAGCCCTGTTTAAAACATAATAATGTGTAATAATTTACAATAAGGAGTAGGTTATTTTATTATGGTGGTAATCATTTTTTGAAATCCATGTGGTAAAAAAAAGTTGATTTTGTAATTTTTAATGATTGGATATGAAAAAAAATTGAGTTGAAATAAACACATGATAAATCGTTCGATTTTCATTTTCTAGTTTTTTTTATTTATTTTTTATTTATTTTATTTTTTTTATGGGGGGGAAAGAAAAGTGTTGAACTTACAAAAGCCAGCAGCAGAACGCAGTCAGGGCCAAACTCATGCGAACAAGCCTGGAAGAGAAGAGTCATCTTTTAAATACGCACAGGGTTGCAATATGAACATTTAAAGTCTATGATTGAATAATTACCCGACGTAATCCGATCTCGGGACCAAGAAGGGCAAGATAATCCCGAAGATCGCCCAAAAACCGGTAACAGCACTAAAGGGAATAACACTGAGCCCCATGGCGGACTATTCTTGGATAAACCAATGAAATTCAGTTTACACGTCCAAATTGTGAAGCAGTTGTTTTAGATTTAATTTTTGTTAACTAATAAAACCACTCTATTAAGAGCGTATGTTTATTAATTTGTTAAATCTTCAAATTTTGTGATTTATAAAAAAAAAACTAAAGGAGAAAAATTCGTCATTACACATTTTACTTCTCTTCGTGATTTAATTTTTGTAATCCTTCTCGTCTGTGAGCGGAAAAGTGGGTCAGAGGGAAACAGAGTGAGAGGGCGAGAAGGGGCGAAAAGTGGAAGAGAAAAAAGAGAGATCAACACTGTTGTCTTGCTTCCCTATCAAAACTATATACATAAACATAAAAATAAACTCATTCCAAAACTTCGTATTATTTTGTAACATCGTTTCATTCTACCTGCAAATTACGGAATAAGTCCCTCAACAAAGGCAGGAATCCACCTACGCTTTAATTATGAGTCGGCGTTTTAATCAGAAAGTGTCTTCGGTCTAAATTAATTCTTATTAGAATGTAAATAACTTTTCATGCTATTTACATGACAATGTAATTATAATTATTTTAAAAAATGTATTTTTGGATTTAGTGATAACTACCAGCTTGCAGTGACAAAATTATTAAATTTCAGATGGTTTAACCAGAAATACACAAGCTATGTTCTCTTCCGCTGTACTTTAACAATTTACGACTATAGCTAGATAACAGGACTGACGTGCAATTCCTATACAAGATTAAGAAAAAACAACTTAACAAGGCATGGACAAAAATGAAGGTTTTTGATAAGTTATCCACTATTCAGCACTTTCAAAATTTCCAATTAAAAGTCCTTACAAAAATATTTCCTATTCATTAGATTTCGTGGTCCGATTGACCAAATGACAACTTTCAATTAATTAAATTTTATATAAGGTATTGGTTGAGATAAAAAATTTTGTGCCACGAGCGGGATTCGAACCCACGACCTTCGGCTAAATACGCCGCTGCTCTAACACTTGAGCTATCGTGGCTTTGATTCACTCGGACAATAACCATTTGTCGCCGCAAAAAGGAGTGAAAATTCGAAAGGTTGAGTTGAGGTGTCCGTGTGGATCGAAGTCACGATAGCACAAGTGGTAGAGCAGCGTCGCATTCAACCGAAGGTCATGGGTTCGAATCCCGCTCGTGACACTGACATTTTTATCTCAACCAACACGTTACATAAAGATTAATTAATTGAAATATTTCCTATTATTGAACCACGGGTGAAGCGGTATTTCCGGTTGGATATTCGTATAACCTTTACCGTTTGTGCTTTTTTATCTCACCTGCCTCTTATCTCTTGAGCAAGAAGATGGAATTGATTTGGGTATTTATTGGTACGAGCATTTACCTACCAGATTCTGTAATACGATTTGCTATAATCAAAGTGGCTATAAAATGATAATCTCTAATCGAAGAAAACCTACTTAAAATAATTGCAAAAATACATCAGACCGCTGGACAATGAGTGAAAATAAAATACATTCCTGCGATATATAAAATGCATGAACTATCCTTAACATCGCGGTCATTATTCCCATTACTTGTCATTAAGTGACAGAACGATTTTTTGAAATTTGATTCGAATCTCATTCCAAATTACATAATCAATGCTATAAATAAATTGGATTAAAAAGCAATCAATAATGGACTACAAGGCGAGAGATATAGCTGGTTTACAGACACCACCTCGCCTTCCCTGGAGGCAATGTTGGCATTACCCTTATAATTATTTGTATTTCTCTTATTGGAAGATCTGAATCTCAACGCAGAGTAGAGTTGAAAGCGAGCATTATTTAAAGATAAAAATACGATGTGAATTAATAGCTACACAACATTAGACTACGTTTTCTTCACAATTCCTTGACGACAAAATTAATATTATTTCTCCAAGTGGTAATCTAGTTAGATTTATTTTTTAATTGAAATTAATTGGTTATGTTTTACATAAATTTTAACCGCATCGATTAAAAGGTAAAGGTTACATTCAGGATTCACTATCAGCAAGCACAGAAAACAACATCTATTGAACAACTTGACGGATGAAGTTCGGAAATTAATTTCATTAGATTTCTTGGCCCGATTGATCAAATACCATCTTTCATTAATTGAAAAATGTCACAAAGGAGGGAAAATTCGAAAGGTTGGTGTCCGCGAGGACCGAGTCACGATAACACAAGCTGCTCTACCACTTGAGATAAAAAATTCAGCGTCACGAGCGAGATTCGAACCAAAGACCTTCGGCTAAATACGCCGCTGCTCTCCCACTAAAACGATCGTGACTTCGATCCTTTCGAACACCAACCTCCCATCACAACTCAAACTTTCGAATTTTCCGTCCTTTTTACCGTTGTTCAATATTTTTTAGCTCAACCATGAAAACTAATTGATTACTATTAATGATAAATTTACAGTAATCATCTTTTCTAAATTGTTCGTAAATTTATAATTAAATTGACAGATTTTTTTAATAGGAAACCAATGATATTTGTGGGAACAAAATTTACTTATTACCTCAAAACCTTATTCAATTGTCGTTCTTAAATCATGTATAGTGCTACATAGTTTTAACAATGAGTTTATGCTACCGTTTGAAAGACATGGAACAATCATTCTCAGGATTCTTCCGGGTAAAAAGTATTAACTTGTACTCTATTCTTGGGGAGCAACTGTTGTCGTTTCATTATTTTCAGGCGATTTCACTTTTTCAAAGAAGCAGGAGTAACAATCCAACAATGCGACAGCTTCATTAGGGCTTTATCGTTGCAGTGGACGCCATGAGTTAAACAGTTGCTCGGGCCAGGTGTTAAGGCAGGGAATGTGTGTAAAAATGTACCGTCCGTCCGGGACCGGCAATAGTGAAAGATGTAGCATTTTCTCAATTCATTCAGCGTAAGGTCGCAAGGTTGCACACTGTCTCGAGATGTTTCGTCGTGATAAAACGGAAAATTTCCGTGAGGAGTGGAAAAAAGTCCGTTGGCCAATTTATTCGACGTACGTTTTCCAATTTCCTAGCATATCCAGAATTCCATCTAAACTCCGGATCAGGAAAAAGGTGGGATATCGAGCGGAAAGTGGAAAAAATCGGTCGGTACCTGTTGCCGGGTAGGATCAGATAAGTGCCCCTTGACAAGTGCGTTAACCATCCGATAAACATTAAATAAGGAAGCGTCGATAATTTACCAGAAATAAATGGCTAAAACCGTCGTCAATTTACGAACCCTCTGGCAATCTCCTATTGATTAATTGGAAACTCATGACAACTATCGTACTTAGAGTATCCTGCTTGTTGACTTTATTTTGCAAATAAAAAACTAAGACTACGAAATAAATTTATCTATACAAAGATAGATCGTAAATGGAACACTATAAATTACATAATAATATAATATAAACTGATAGGAATAATAATAAAACTTTATCGCTTCAATGGTATTAAACGTATTAATAAAAGTTGTGTCCTTTGACCTGTCACATAGTTCTGGCATGGTCTTGCACCCGAAAGTTATCGTCAATCTTATATAGTTCATATCCTCTCCTAAAACTACTATCAAAATAAAAGGCAGCAATGAATCTACAGAGGTAAGGCCGATCCAAGCTGGCATCCCACAAGAGAGCATTATTGGACCTATCTTATATTTATTATTAGGGGTATTCACGATCATTGTGTTAACCCTGTTAAGTCTGTTAGATTGAGAAAAATGACGACTAGACTTGTAAGAATTGGCTAGTTGACATTGCTCGATCTTAGAGGCCAAAGCAAATGTTAGGTGTTAGGTCGAAAATGTAGTCACATTGCTATCCGTTAAGGCGTAGGTAACCAAGATGGCAGTCAAGAATTTAACAGCTGTTTTTTGTTTACACGTATTTTTATTCTTAAATACGCGTTAATTAAATCAAACCAATACATTTATTTTGTTAATTTCTGACCTGTCCTTATACTCTCATTCGTAATAGATACATCTCATATCCTATAAAGTTGTAAGCTGTTAGATCTTGTAGATCTTAGGATTCAAGTTAGGCATGTCGGCACGAATGAAGAGTGTCATTTGTTAGTACTTTTTGAGTGCTTTTGAATAAAATAAGAGATTAATTTTCATTTTTTATTAACTTCTGGCATCTTACAATTTAACATAAAAGAAAACCAAAACAAACAACAACAAGGACTGTTATAGCTTTATTTTTGGTTCTACCAATCACCTCTCGGAAAAATTAACAATTAACATGCTAAGAAAAGAAGGGGGCGTTAACGATCTTACTGGACATTTCTCTATTCGAGTTAACACGAGTTAACATCTTACATACATCGTGAATACTGCTATTATTTATACCTAAGTTGACCTTACTTACCAACACTATTAGAACCAACGTCGACTTTATCTTTTATCTTCAATGCTATACGTGCCACATCCAATATCCAGGCGCATATCCATATCAGAGCGAAACGTAGAATTTGTAACTGAAGGAGGACAAATTCACCGAATTACGCCTGTACGTTTACACCGATTTCTGAACTGATTATATACCTAGGACTATAATTAAATAGACTGACGTAAACTGTTCACGCAAAACTCAATCGAAACATCTAAAGAGACGATTTGGACATTTCGGAAGATTACTATGACAAAAATAAGACATCATTGTAACAACCAAACTAACATTGTACCTGATCTATTGGTCATGCTTCGTATGTCTGTCTCTATATTGGTGTAGTGTACTAGCATACTATCGGGTATCAAACTAATCCTAACATTGCAATCAAAAGTCCTCAGAAGAATTATCTAAGCTCCTTTCTACTATCTAACCGCCCATATTGACCTTACTTCATTAAAAATTGATCTGTACTCGCTTCATCTTTCACTCTAATCTTTCGATCCATCCTTACTCTCAACTACCATTCATCCCGAGAACCCTCCACTTCGCCTTAAATGACGATGGCCCCGAGACCTAACACTTATCAAAGCAGTATGGTTCTCCGTCTCAGCTATGTGGCAGCGTTGTATACGGCGACACTCTGCTCGATCTATCTACCCTCAGATCGAGCAGCTCTTCCACCTGCGATTGTTTGTTTGTGATTTCACACACTTGTTGGGGGAGTGAGCACTGATGCTAGGCGACATCATAATTGAAGCAGTTTATGACCTGTTGAAATTGTATGCAGCATTAAGTCACATCAGTAAAGTTCTAGCAGTGGACAGAGATATATTGTGTTAAATATCCCATGGTTGGTT